CATCATCATCATCATCATCATCATCATCATCATCATCATCATCATCATCATCTGAACAAGAGAGAACGATTCACGCATTCCCAGATGTGTTTCGATCAACGTCGCTTCCACACTGCCAACGCCACTGACTGGTCGTGGCGAGTCACTCACCGCCGCCCAGGATGGTCGGCGAAATCGCCGAGCCCTTGACCGACGATCAGGAAATGGCCCGTGTCAACAGGACGGGGACTAATGACCGACCGATGAGCGACCGATGACTGGATGGAGCCACTCTTTGTGACGTCTGCCATCGCCGGCTTGGGGTGTCCAGCTATGTCCAGCTGGTTTGATGGACGGATGGGCAAACAGGATGTGAGAGTTTACGTTGTTACCTGGGGCGATCCAGAATATGGGGGTGAAAGCAGAGCTGTGCAAGCTCAGCTGAAGCTTCTTAAAGGGCATTCGCTCCCATTGTCAAGCAGCCAGCCTTTCATATGGCAAGTCGCGACACAACACAGTTTCCACATGTTTCCACAAGAAGGTCTCCACACAGGGAATCCACACACTTCGGTGAGGTGGATGCTTCTACTTGGCCGTCGACCTTTTCAAAACAAGCCGTCATTTGCTGCCGGCGAATGGGTCCGTGGTTGTCCGTGGTTGTAATCCAGAATCTGGTGCTGTCAGCGCAGCCCAAAGTTCGTAGTAGTTGCTGTTAGCCGGCAGCGGACCCCAGGTGTCGAGCATGGAGTCGACAGGAGTAAGTATATATATCACAGTATATCACAGTCCGATTTGGTGTCGGGGTCTGTATGTCATGTTCTATTACGTTCAGGGTCTTAGTTTGAATTTGCTTGATCTACGCTCGAGTTTGAGACCGACGAACCAGAACACCGGACACCGGTCTGTAAAGATCTGTAAAGGAAGCATTTGGCCCTTGGTTTTCAGCTTCGTGGGGCTCTTCGGGGGCGTTTCTTGTTTGTGCCTCTTAGCCCAAGTAAGAAGGCATTCAGCAAGGGTTCGGCATTTTTTCTCGAAGGCTCTGAGAGTCTGGCTTTTTGGAGTTCTCTTTCAATGACAAACCTTGACCCAAAGCGATGTCATGGGGGAACACAGCTGGTACCTCCATAGCATCGCGGCCGTCGAGGATTTGGGGCGGTTTCTTGACGCATGGACAGGTGAAGACCTAAGACCACCCACTCATATCATATTCCATGTATACGGGGTCATGCCCTTCAAACCGTCCAAATACGACAGGACAAGACCTCACTTGAGAGGTCTAGGACACTGACACATGCGGACTCGCTTCCCGGCATCGGATCCGACGAGGGCGGAGACGAGGTCGCCCCGCGAACGCGAACATCGCCACCATCGCGTCGGCAGTTGCAGGATCGCCGAGGCGCTCGGTTTGGAATGCATTGGTTGGGTCTTCACCAGCTTGCCTCTGGAGCGCCGGCTCGCCGGTGACGCGCACGGCTGGGATCGCGCGTAAACACGCGGTGTTCTTTTTTGGGCGTAGAGATTCTGGGGCCATGAAGGGCGGGGACTGCCGGGAGAAGAGGTAGCTCGACTGTCTCCGAAATGAAAGTGACCTATGGCAGAAAAGAGAATCACTAAGTTGGCAATGAGGTTGTCAACCTGAAAAAAATACTCTGTTCATGGTGAAGGCGGTATGCTGTTCGGGTATACCATACTCGTGAAAGGTCGGTGTGTTTTCCGGCCAAAGACGTCGAGGGAACGCAACCAAGAATCCATCGAGGTATGGTTTTTGTGAGAATGCACCCGTGCGAGAAGATCAGTTCATGTTCTCCCAGAAAAATAGAACTAGCTATTAGCTACTTGTAATTAAGACATGCTACTGATTTTTGGTAGCCAACATATGAAAGCCGCTTGACCAAATGCCTAAGGTTGATCAAATGAGTAAGAAATTGATATATTCTTCGATCGAAATGCCGCCCCAAACGCTCTCTTCCTCAGAACGCCCCCGCCGGATGGAGTCCTTACCCGTCAGGAGGATGACCTCTTATTATCTCCTGAGGAGGTCCTGCGCATTGCCAGGCTGGAAACCTGAGAGCTTGTTCCTTGTTCCTAGTGGCTTCTTGTTCCTAATAGCAAGGCCAGCCCCTAGACCCTAGTAGCGTCCTTGCTCCGAATCGCGATGCCCTTTGCTACGTTCGTAGCGTCCATGCTACGTTCGTAGCTCGGTGACTTGGTGAGTTGGTGGCCAGACACCAAGGCGTGGCCAAGCGGTTGGTGTTCAAACGGTGGTTGGTCCGCCAGAAATCACGCCGAAGGTCTCCCTGTGCCAAC